TTTTTTTTTTTTTTTTTTAATTTTCTACCTGTTCTGTTCTATCTTGGTTTTTGATTCAGTCATTCGATTTCGTTGATCTTTGATCCCATTTGCGTTTTTTGTGCCGTGTTGTTCCCATCTGCAGATCCGCCGCTTCTTCCCGCCGGAGCTCCCCAATTCGCCGCATCGGATTCCCGAATCTTCTCGAGACGACGCCGTCTCTAGGAATATGAATTTTGCAATCCTTAATTTTATATGGCGGATGCTCTCCTGATGTTCCGGATTAGAGTTATTCACTCTTTCTCCGTCGTATTCCTCTACTGGTTTTATGTTTTCTCCGAAATATCTCCGGCCAACGCCTGAATCCACCACCTGACCACCCCCTGATTTTCCCAATAATAATAATAATAGTAATAATTAATAATAGTTATAAATAAATTCCCACAATAAAAACAGCCAGCAGAAATGGAGGACGAGAGAAAGAGGAAGAGAAAGCAGTCGAACCGAGAGTCGGCGCGTCGGTCCCGTATGAGGAAGCAGCAGCGGCTGGACGAGCTGACGGGGCAAGTGAACCAATTGGAGGAGGAGAATAAGAAGGTGATGAAGATGATAGATGGAGCCTCCCAGCTGTACCTCGACTTTGCATCCGAGAACAATGTGCTGAGGGCTCAAGCAGTTGAGCTCACCGATCGCCTTAGATCGCTTAATTCTGTGATTCACATTGCATCTGAGGTGAGTGGGATGGCTCTTGATGTTCCCGATGTCCCTTCTTCGGATTCTTTGCTCGAGCCGTGGAAGCTGCCCTGCCCGATGCAGGCCATCCCTGCGGATATGCTTATTTGATTTACAACCGGTGAATATTCTCGATTTCCCTTGAATGAATGCTGTAGTTTATGTTGGTTATCTTGTTGTGGTTTTCACTGAAAAACCATTGTTAGTTTCGAAGTTTGTTTGTTTAGAATTTAAGTTGTGTTTTGAGTATCTGTTGGAGCTCTTGTGATGGTAAGTCTTTTAGTGTTTTCTTGAGGGGATGGATAAGAGTGGATTGCAGAGTGTGTCTAGTGTTTGATGTTCTTGTTATGTTAAATGTTGTTCTGATTAATTATGGTTTTGTGCATTCTTCTCTTTTTAGTTTTTACACTTATGCAAATAGCTTCTATACTGGGTTTTGAATTTGATGCCATTTATCTCTGCGTAATTTGTGCGAATCGACTTAATTAGCTCCGGATGATTGATATATAATCTATGGAGTTGGTATCACCCTATCTGAAAGCACTGGCTTTATGTGATCAAAGGTTGATGATATTGGGAGTTGAATGATATGATGAACACAAGAAAGGTGCTTCGAAAGGCTCGATAAAAGCGGCCCACAACACCTGGGGCCATTGAGCTGCAAGACCACGTTTCTATAGCAACATTATCGATCTTTTCAATAATTTAACTATCTGTAGTGTTCCATTATGTCTACTAAACAACAATGGCAAATCTCATGGTAATTATCTTTAACTTTTAACATGAATGTGGGTGGGCTACTATATCAATTTTGTGTTCCTCCCCACCTTATACAGCGGCTCGTGTAGGGGCGGGTGCGCTGCTTGTACGATAAGTGCACTTTGTTGTTATTATTTCTTTCTTCGATCCATGTTGCCCACTGTGTTCGAACATTTTGATTGGCTTGTACATGAAATCAATCATAAGCTTGCATGATTAGATGATATATCGAAGAATATTCTGCAATGGGTGGTGCATAGAGAGGGCTTTTTGCGGGCTTTTGCTGTGTGTATGGTCCCGCCAGCTAATGCAGCCATGCCAAATAATTGGGGCACAAAAGGTACCGAGTGATGTTGAGAGGTAAGATGATGATATTTGAGCTTTACATGTATAATTTTGGGGGTGTTTACGTTGACACAAGTTTCTTATCTTCACTTTTGTGCCAATCCTAGGCTTGCACGTCAGTTTTGTTCCAAGATGAGCTCTTTTCCCTCCTGCTTGCCCACTTTAAGAAAATTAAATAAGATGCATAAAAAAGTTAGTTTTTCTTGCAACTCGCAGGGCAAAAAACCACACGTCTAGTTGGAGGGAGAGATGAAAGATGTGTTTTATTGTTAGATGATTTTCAGTACATTTTGTCGTGTGAGCAAGGAAGAATATGAGAAGGTTGAAGAGGCAACTCAACAATATGTTGGGACTTTACTAACAAGACTAAGGTCTCGTTTACTTACGAGGATGGGATTGGACACATCGATCCTATCAACTTTACTCGTCAGGTTCTATATTATGTGTTAGAATATATCAGTTATAACTTGTCCCACATCGTTTACACATTGAAAATAGACTCATCTTATAAGTCTAATGAGCTATTCCTCCTTCCACCAATTAGTTTTGGGATGAAATCTCACTTGGGCTTCATATGGGTTTTCCTCGCTTTTGGAGCGTCCCACTCACCCGTTTCTTTCCTAGTTTCTTACATTACTAGTACAACACCCGTGTATTACAAATACACGGGTGCTTGTTAAAAAAATATTCTTAAATTTTAAAATTAATGAGAAAATTATATTAATTTTACTTTTTTACATAAAAAGTATATTACTATATATTTTAGAATGATATGTGTTACTTATGACTTACATGTGTTATATTATATTAGTTTTTATAACTTATATCATATAACTACTTGAAATATAAATATATTAGTTGATAAATAATTTTATTTTTCTAATTAATATTAAAAATAATTTTATTATTATTATAAAGATAAATATAAATTATTGTTTTATACATACAATATGAATGTTAAATCGAATCTCATCAAAAGAAGATTAATTTGATATATTACATATGTAAAACTGATAAAAAAATACAAGTTATTAACTTTTAAAATATATATACAATTCAATAGTTATAATAAGGAATGATATTAAAATACTATTAATACATGTAACATGACCATAAATAATCAACATATTTATGGTAATCCGAACCTAATTATTTTTGGTTTGGAATTAAATTAAAATTTACCCAAGCCTAATAACGAAGCATGTAATTTTGCCACATAGGATTTCGAAGCACCAGAAGCAGCCACGTAGGCTCAGTGCGTCCTGTATTAATATATAGGGGGATGTTTACAGACCATGATACAAAATAAGGCCTAACCAATGAGTACTTACTAAGGGCTTCATTGTTTATGAATTATTTTACTCACTTTTATTTCATACTCAACTTTAACTCAACTTCACTATCTTTAATATTATTCATATAATTAAACAATACAAACTAATTATTTTCACACATCACATTTTTATCTAGGACGTGGATAAAAAATGACTAAAATTAATTAAATTGTCAAATTATTAGACTCCGTTGAAAGTGGTCAATGACAGGTTGAGAAATTGGACTTTGGTCAAATTATATGATTACTTTTGAATTTTTGCCCGCCCTTGTGGGTGATGGGTTGGAAAAAAAAAAAAATGACGAAGGTTTGTTTGGAGAGTCTCGGATTCAAACATAAAGGTTAGCTTGGTGGATTGGTGATCAATTTTTATAAACCAAAAGAATATGGTGTCTTAGGGCTGAAAAAACTAAAATAATGAACGAGGCTTTGATTATGAAGCTTAAATGGATTTTTTTTTTAA